AATTTAGAATCAATCTTTTTTGGTAATAAGAAAATGGTAAAATGAATGCTACAAATTTATGAATACCAGGGAGATTTTTGAAAAAATGAGATAGATTTGTATGTGCTGACATGGAATGATCATGACAATCTGAGAAAAATCAATTTACAAAGAGCATGATAGAAAAAGTCAGTGACAAAATCTTGGTATCTGTGTTTCGGATAACTCTAGGAAAAGCAAATCTCCAATCACTTCTCTAAAAACTGGCTGTTTTGGACATCTTTTGTGGTGGATTAGAGTTGCCATTTTGACTTCCTTATCTACTTTTAAGGTCTTTGAAGAGCTACATTTTCCACATCCACTTCTAGAATTTGTTTTATTCATCTATCCCAAAACCTGTCTTAAAAATCATGAGCAGTTTTTCTGAAAAAAGATCAATTTCTCCTGAAATGTAATTGTCATTGTGAGTCATAGACAAGCACCTTCTTGCTAAGGGTGACAGTTACACGAGCTTTTGGAAGATCATTCCAAAGACTGCTATCTAGAGGCAACATGGTTGAACTGCAGATTTGTTTTTAGGTGCTTGAGAGAACTGAACTACAATCTTCTAAAACTAATGAATGCATACTGAACTAAGACATTCTGTTAACACTGGAGATACAGAAATAGAGAAAGCATTGTCCTTGTTCTCAAGGAGCTCACAGGCTAGTGGGCACTGGAAAAGTAATGTGCACATTATTGAAGAGAGCAGTTAAGCAAGCAGATTGGAGCAGTGGGAAAAATACAAAGCGATGCTCCTGAGAAGTGACCACGGTTGACATGATTATTGAGGGATGAGTAAGAGAAAGCTAAGCAGATGAAGAGAAGAGAGGGCTGCAGATTAAGGAACTAGGGTGGTGCAGAGTGACAAAAGTATGAGAAACCATGCCATGATCTAGAAACTACAAGTAAGACATATGACCTCATTTAGAGTAAGAAAAAAGGCCAAGGGCATTCCATGTGCAAATTCTTTGACTAACATACAGAATGATTAATTGGCCTCACTCTAGATAACCCAGCATGGACCTGTGTCTTTGTGGTGCTCTATCGGATCTCCTAGACTTCTCAGACCTGATTATCACAGAAACAAGTACAAAACTCTCTGCCTCAGTGATACAGTCATGGGGCATCTCTGTGTTGTGGTTGTCAACAGTACCCCAGCTGTCATGAGAATTGGAGAGGACTTCCCCAAGGTCAGCTCTTAAAATAGGACCTGACCATCACATAGTACAAAAATGTCATTTGTTGTCCAAGTTAAATCCAAGCCTCCGGTTGAAATGCAAGCTCCTTTACATAGCCTCTCACATAGCTTTTCAAAATTAAATCAATAGAATTTTGTGAATAACAATAAAGTCTTTGGAGTAAAGTAGTACTAAGTTTGATTTTAACTCTGCTATTCACTTAAACTTTAACATAAAAATAACAATTTTCCTTAGTTTTAGTGTCTTCATCCATGGCATGGGTACAAATCACACCACATGGTGTTTTTTGACTATTATTTTAGTTTATTTCCTTGCAATTTTTCTGTTTTTTTCAGTGTTGTTTTGAGAATTAAATAGGATAATGTATTTTGAGTAATTAGAACAGTAACTATTATTTAAAAGTGGCTGACTGTGTAAATTTATAATTTGTATTTTGATTCAGACTTGTTTTTTGTTATATTTGGCTATAAAATAGTCTTGGATTATATCCTGTATTTTTGGAATATATTCTACTTGGCCTTGTCCAACTTCACCATTTCAAAGATCTTTCCTCAATGCCTCTAAGTGACATTCATTATTCGTTCCTTATTTCCATAGAAATTGGTTTGTCTACTACAGAAATAAGAGTAATGATTTTGTTGAATTTAAAATGGACATGGGAACAGATGGTATTTCACTCCCTATGTCTAGAACATAAAATGTTCTCTCTAGAACTGTCTAGGACAATTTCTGATGCTTATTCAATTGATTTTTATTTTATAATGAGCATTGTTCACAAACAAAAATGATTCTATTGAGAAATTATGCCATTAATAAACGAATTATTCTGAATTTGAACTTAGAAATGAATCTACACCCCTGTAGGGTACACTAAAACCCATTTTCAACCCTGCATTCATGGCACACTATAACCCTTTGGATAGCCACAAGCCATTTTATTCCCTTTCAATGGCATCCTACTAAATCTTTGCTTTCTCCTACTCTGTCTCAGTCATTCCTTTATCAACCCATGGCTCCCAAATCCACAGCACTATGTGCATTAAGGATAGAATGAAATACATTTTTTCTCTTAAAGCATATGCTTTAATTGAAGAAATATATAAAACATTATTACATTTAATAATACACTGCAATCAGAAATATCTAGTCCAAAAGGGAATTTTTTAAAAAGTAACTTCTTTGAATGTTTATAAATATTCTCATATTCTAAATGCTTTTATTTACCTTCACCTAAGACTTTTCCAAGAGTCCTACTTACTCATCTACTAATGCTGTCTCCAAAAGTAATTCCACAAGTCAGAGAATATGGCTCAAACTATATGTTATTATATTTGTTTATTAAATTTTATTTCCTGGACTTCCAGGTTCATTTTCAAACCTGAACGTAAGTGCTATATTGTTTACTCCCTAGACAAATCAATTTCCTAACTCCTATGCAGTGAAGAGGGATCTTGCACTATGCTTTTTATTTTGTTTGAGATGATGTTTATAAATATGTCACTTTCAGAAGCCTGAGTTGCATATGAACAATCCTGACCACTTTGGGATGAAGGGAGTGTTCTGTCTCACTGATAATACTGAGAGAGAAAATGAAGTGGTTCTGATCTGTGTCCACAGATAGCATGGAGGAATTCATCCTCTAGAGGTAAGTCTCCTCTTTTGGAAGTACCTTTAAGTCTTTGAGTATGGATCAAGAGATAGAATAAAAAGTTCACAGAAAAAATTTCTTACCCTTCTCACAAGTGCTTTTATCACTTTTAAAAACTTTAATCTATTACTTAAATGGTTAATTTCTTCATTTCTCAAATCTCATAGTGTTTTCAGTTTTAAACTCACTAGCACTTTGCATTTAATTATTCACTAATTATTCTATAATTTTTAGAATTATAAATGCAGATTTCAAGAGAGATATGTCCATGTCAAGATATGCCACAAAACTGAGGTGCATATAGGATGCTATGTGGCCAATTGTTGACTGAGTGATAAAATTTCCATGGAACCAGGGTTGTCCCACGGATGTCATCAAATTATAGAGTAGTGAAATGTAGCAGAATCTTTGCTGTGGAGAGCTCAACTAAGGTTTGATTATAACAGTTGAAAGTATGTGGAATTTGGAAACTGTTGCAAAATATATTTTAAAAAAACCCTAGCACTACAATGTTTAGCTATTTTGTACTCAAACTTCATAAAACCTATTTTTTGAGAAATATTTTTTGTTCCATTAGAAAATAGTAAAGTCCATGAAATAGACAAATTTGGATCCTCTGTGTTCTGAAGTTTTAGTGTCAAAATACTGGTATTTGTACCATAACTAGCTGGTTGTGGTCACTTAACCTATTTCTTGATTCCTTGTCTATAAAATGAAAGAATTGGATAGAGATCTTGGGAGATGCCTCAAAATTTGCAATAGGTTTATTTCTTAAAGGAACAAAAAATAAGAAGTACTACAAATATTTCCTTCCAAAAGGAATAAGCCCTGAAAATCAGTTTATTTCATTTACATTATCTTTCTAGTCACAGTATAGTTACTACTAAATAGTTTACATATTTTACAGAATTAAATAATACTACTTTGTTAATTTTTTTCTTAAGCCAGCTTTATGCCTACTAAAAGTAAGCAATTGGTGTGTGTTTTTTCCATTTCATTCATCCAACATAATGGTAATATTAGAAGGAAAAATGTAACTTGGTAATGAAGTTAAGTAGTTTGCTAATTTTTCTTGGTAAGAATTCAATGCTCTTTTTTGGAGTTTTACTTTAAGTGTCAAGATGAGTTAGAAGCTCAGGGGAGGCTGGAATGAACTCTGTCTTCTTTACTTCTACATTCACCAACAGCCATTTTCTAAAAGATTCTAAGTAATTACTGCTGAAAGTAGAAATAATTAAAGATGTGCTTTTGGAAAACATCTAGTTGCCAAATGAAAGCACTATGATTCAGATCAATGAAATGTGATTAATCTATATTTTGTACTTTCGTTGAGATCATTATCAAAAGTAGGGGAAAATTCCTGTGAGGGAGAAAATGCTAATACTTCCCCTAAGATCTGTTTCTATCATAGAAAGTAGTACTTTGATGTATTATTAAAGAGTTGTCAAAATTTTTTGCAATTCTAAATTAATTTAAAGTTAATGATATAAGTCAATAAAGTGCAATCAAATATATATACCTATATTTCCTTTTGATGAACATTTCCAGTGGGAAAATTTTTCTTATATTAACCATGCTCTATCACTTAGTATTACCTATCTTATGAAATTGTTTAAAGACACAATTGATCTTAGATATCAATTGACCTGTGCTCCTTATTCCTTTTCAATTTCCTTTCAGAAATGTACACTTCATTTTTTTGTGAAACATTTTAATAGTAATATTTCTCTAAAGAAAAATATAGCCAGAGGATGCAGATGAAAGTTCTCTTTCAACGTCCAAGAACAATGACATCTTGGCTTACATGACTGTTTATACAGCTTCAAGACCTGTAGGATTTGCAAAATGTATTGTTTGCTATTTATTAGGCAGTAGTAAAGGATACTAAACATTTTCTTCAAGTTTTTGGCACATTATTTAAAATCAGAAAGAACTAAAAAAGACTTATCTAAAGTGCTTAGCCATATCTATCCCCCAGAAGCTATATAATCAAAGATCCACATTGAACTTAGAATATTTGAATTATTTGTCGACTGTTAAAATGTTAAATACAGTACATTATGTATCTTTGATGAGTTTATTGGTTATCATTAGGGCACAAGTCTCCATCTACAATACTGACCATGAAGCACTTACTGTGGGGAGTAATGTATGTTACTATATCGTGTTACTCTGTGTCTAGATGTCATTGGGGATGTAGAGTCAATGGTTTGGCTTATGTGAATGTCTGGACACATTTGTGTCACTTGAATTTCTGGCCCTACCAAAATACCTCCACTCATCACAGGTCCCATGCAACCATCAGCCATGTTACTATTGTTTGTGTCAGGAATACCAGGACTGGCCATCACTCTCTCAGCATAGTACACATTGTGTGTGTTGGCTAGCTCAGCAGGTACACAAATATTACCTTGAACATCAAAGACAGGTGTCATCAGAGTTTCGGTGACTACAACATTGGGAGGAAGCTGAGGATCAAAAACAATTGTAGTGGGTTGTACACATGGATCAGCAGTAGTGTAAGTCTCCGTCACTATGATATCCCCATGAATCATGGGTTCACACGTTGTTGCCATTTCTGCTTCGAATTCAGCCTCCGAGAGAGTCATTCCTGAAGATTCATTAACAAAGTAATTTGGTCCCAGCAAAGGAAGGTCAGTACTGATAGGTATACAGGCCTGGTGTGAAGGAAATGGCTCAATTTCTGTGTCTAAGCAGATTTCAGCAAGAGTCCTAAATTTTGGATCTAAAGTTTCCATGTAGCTTTCATCTAAGTCATCCACAATCCAACTGCAACAACCGATAGAGCCCACAGGAGACCCTACACCCTCATGGTCATAAATGAGTAAGCAGTCGTTGGCTGGTCGGCTTTCATCTTCATCTGCATACTCATATGCTTTCTGAAATTCAAATAAAAAAGTAGGAAATTAGATGCTTCTTTTTCTTTAAAATAATCAAAAAAGAATAGCAGCAATACTTCAGAGACATCTGATCTAGGAAGATTTTATGGAACAAATTGAAAAAAAGTAGTACTTTGATGTGTTATTAACTAGACCCTATCTCAAAAAACAAGCCAGACTTGGTGGCTCACATCACAGCTACTTGGGAAGAAACTGGTCCAAGCAGGCCCAGGAAAAGCAGAAGATCTGCTCTAAAAAATAATTAAAACAAAAGGGCTAGGGGCATAGAGTGTTTGCCCAGCAAGTCTGAAGTCCTGAGTTCAAAATCCCCATGCTGTCAAAAAAAGAAAAAAGTTCAGTGAACCACAGGCGATAGCAGGTGAGGAAAGAGAGCTGGCAGACGTCTAGACTCAGTCCATTCCCTTCAAACAGAGAGGTTCCACTTTCATCTCCTCTACATATTGAGCTCCTACCTAAGATTTTACTTTAAAAGTCTATCTCTAAAAATAATTTAAAAATCAGGGACTACAATCTCTTAGTGCCTTCCTTCTATTAAACCTCACAGTAGTACAATGTGCTACGTTAACTGGACATGCATTCTGTATTTTCAAGATAAGTGAAATTTTTTTTCAAGATCAGGATAGTAAGAACACCTGCATATATTTCAGAAGAGGCCTGCCATTACTACTACTAGTATTGCTAGTCACAAGTCTCCTCTGTGTGTAACTGTGTAAGAGAGTTACCTCGGAGAAGTAGCTGTCTAAGAAAGCCATGTTCATGCCTGTGTCTTGGTATTCCCGCAGGGTGCCTATGGCAGAACTCCCCTTCCTTAAGGTTCCCATCGCTGCTCCTCCAGCTACCAGGCCCGTGGTGGTCCCACCACCTGCATTGAGTTCCACTCCTGACACACCCCCTTCAACTGTTCCTCCTCCCGCATAGGTGTTGGTGTAGATTTCTGAAAAGACAGAATATTCCAATCACAGTGCTTGAGTTATTTGTGTTACTTTGGCATCCAAAATATTGCCAGCCTCTATACGTTGATGCTGTCCCCCACCACATAGCACAGAGTAGCTCTGTAAAGACAGACAGGGGCCCAAAATCTCCAGGTTTGAAGCCAGCTGTCAGACATGGCCTTCCCAAACGTGTACCACCTTCCCCTGAAGATTTCAAGTTGTAGAACTTGAAGAGCGGAGGTGGGTCTCTGTGCAGGTGCAGTTCACTGCCTCTGACTAGGTACCCCAGGCCACCTGATAAGGCATGACCTGTTGGGGAGCCTTCTAAGCAAGGCCCACACTGGCTTCCAGCAGCAGCTGAAAGTTCTAGTTCTCATTCATTTTAGCACTGGATGGAGAGCTGGCTCTCTCAGGAATGTTCAGTCCATGTAAATTCTTTGCATGGAAAGCGTCAGGCTTCAGATACCAAGGAATCATTCCCTAGAAAGCTCAGGTCTGCTCCAGGATTGGGTAAGTTCTCTGCTTGTTTCAATCACTGCCCAATTGGTATTTTTTAGTATTCTTTGTATGAGTGGGACTGGCAAGTTAGGAGAATGATGACGTAAAAGAACCTTTGAATTTAAGAAAAATTCCTCAATGTATTACTAGAAGAACACATGGGTTCCTTTCTTTTTCCTTTTGTGTTTTTCAAAAAACAGCTTATATTGTAAATAATCAATACGATAGCCTGTAGTCTGTGCCAGGCACTATTCTAATACATATTGTGACACATACACACTCACACATACATATATACACATATGAACACATGAATATCATACCTAATATACATTTGTTTATCATATAATCCATGCCCATGTGTTATACTGTGAAATAGGTACTATGAAAATCTCTATTTCAAAGAGTAGGAATCCCAGGCCCAGACAGGTTGGGTTTTGCCTTAAGACTTTTTATAGTAAGCAGCAGAGCTAGGAACCAAACCCAGCATTGTGGTTTCAGAGTTTGCCCTTTTAAATTGCTATATCATATTTTAATTGGCTGTAGTTTAAGATAAAAACATAAAGTAGTCATTTTAAACATGTCACTTTCCCTCTGATTGACAGATAGGCTATTTTTTATAAGGTACTTTTATATGAGATTGATCTGGTTGAATAATTTTGCTAATTTTAAAAAGAAAAGCAGAATTTGGTGTTTACTCACCAGAGGAATCAATACGATCTTGTGTATTAGAAGCTGTCATGGGCACACATATATTTGACACATCCTGAAAAGAAAAAGAAAAGATTTAAAAATGAATGTTTTATGTTAACCATTTTAAAATTGAGATTTATTCATTTTTGTCTGGTGTGTAATTGTCAAGGCAGGCTCGATTTCTTTTTCTTTTTTCTTTCAATTAGCAGTCTATATTTATTATCCATAATTTTAAAAATTTTTATTGGTGTATGTTCATTGTACAGAGCAAGGGTTTTCATTAGGATGTTTCCATACAGAAGCATGTTCAGTTTCCATGGAAACCCAAACTTCCCCAGCAAGAGATGACCCACTCACCCGGTCCTCTGGATGGGCCCCTTCTATTCTCCAGGACTGCATCACTCCTTCTCCCCCCTCAGGCACAGGAGCAAACCTTGTCCCCAGGCCTGCTGGCTGTCTTCGTTTGCAACAACATGTGAGCAGCAAGAGAGGTGACACTGCCCAAGAAAGTGAAAACAGTTAACACTGACTGCTCAATTTTGAAGTCAATGAATGTATCATTTTTATGGCATGACAGTTAAAAGCAAAAGGATAAATAGAAAGGTAAGAATATAGTAGATTTCCCCTAGAGGATCTAGTACATATATCCATGTTTATAAATACAAATGTGTAAGTCACGTGGGACTTGAGCACTGGAAGAGGCGGATGTGAGCTCATGTGGTCCAGGCTCTGTTCTGACCGATTTGGAAAGTAAGGTCCAATCTTTCCTCTAGTCCAAGACTTCTGAGCTAGTTGGAGGAATATCCAGAATTCCAATCCAGTTTTCTGATTCTTGGTATTCCATATACATGCATGTGAATTTGTATATGTGTATGTATACATATTTAACCGTCTGTGTACACATACAGATGGGCCATGATTTACCATGGTTTGACTTACTTTTTCTCAGTTTTAAACTGGTATAAAAACAATGCATATTCAGTAGACATCATACTTCAAAATTTGAATTTTGACCTTTTCCCAGGCTGGCAGTGTCCTACAATAATCCCTTGGGAAGCTGGTCAATGTGTGTGACCATGAGGGTAAACACCTGATATTCTACATGGTACTGTGTTGCTAAGTTATGGTGCTAGGTAAGTTAGGTGTGTTAAATGCATTTTCAACTTTTGATTTTCTCAGTTTACTATAGGCTTATGGGAGGTAATCCTGTTGTAAGTTGAGGAGCATCTACATATGTTTTTGTCTCTCTATATATTTATACACATATATAATAAAATATAAATGAGTGCCTCCATGGGCATGTGTACATCCACAGGTACATGGACACGCACATGTACACACAAAGACCATCTGTATGAGTGTTTGTATTTATGTATTGGCACACCCACATAGAAACCCATATATACAAACATGTAACCAGGCACAATGTACATACATGTGAGGTAAACACATGATCAAAAGTATGACACCAAGAGGCTTGGATTCAAGATTCAGTTATAGGATCTAGAGCCAGATCCCTTCTTTAACTCTTATTATATTTACACTTAAAATAAAGCAATCAGATATCACCTATAAAATTTAATTAGCAATTTACATCTTTTATTTTAAGACTTTACAAATTATAATGGAAAATCAAAGCTATCACAAACTTTTAACTATTCAAATACTTTGAATAACAGAAAAATTTCCATTAGTTATCCTAATAATTACCTCAACTTTACCCTTCAGTTTAAAAATATAGAAGCTTCTTAAGTTTTGTAAGATTCTGGAATATACTTAGTTTAGTTCTTTGAGTACACTTAAGTTCCTTTTTTATACTTTTATCTTTTTTTTTTGGCAGTACTGGGGCTTGAACTCAGGGTCTCATGTTTGCTAAGCAGGCTTTTTATACTTTCATAATTCCATAATATAACATGAATTTTACTGACTGGGTTAATTAAAATTTCAGAAGAGAATATCATTGCTGCTAAATCAGGCTTCTTATTGACTTCAATAAAACTATTAATTTAGCAATTTTATCTATTTGTACCCTAAACATTGAAAGATCAAATTATACTTATCCAGAGAACTTTCTGGAAAAAGCACTTAGACTAGAACTGGCAGCTGCTAGGCAGCTGCTCCACCTGTTCTATGTTGCTGTGTATTTAGAAGGGTACTAGGCTGTGTACCTGTAGCATAAGCACTGTCTAACAAACGAACTACCTAATAAATGAAATAAAATGGTCTGAGCATATATTAAATACAATTATTGTGTGCAAAATCTCATTTAGAGCTAACATAAAAAATCTTAATTTGAAGCCTTCTGGGAATATGAGGTTTGACTATCACACTGCCCATCTCTCCTTATGACAGACCATGGGGTTCTCCACTGAAAACAAGTGGCTTTGTTCATGGTGCTGTTCCCTTCCCAGCCTTCAATCAGTTTAAGAACTCTCAAGCTTTCTTTACCTAGATCAGGAAGAGTGACGAAATTCTTAGTGCTAGTCTGCTAAAAATGTTGCTGAGACCAGATTTTTAAACTCTTAACCCCGGCAGGCTTAAAAACATGCTGATGCTTAGATCTTATTTTGGGTTAGGGCTCAGATATGAGTCATTTTAAGACTTCTGGGAGTTAGGTGTGACTGAATGACAGATTTGAAGGATAGCTGCTGCCTCTACTCAGTTGCCCTAGGCTCACCTTCTGGGAAAATTCCTCTAATATTTTGAGACTCATTCATGGTTTTTGTATAGCTTTGCAAAGTCACAGGCTATTTTAAGAAAGCCTGCCCAAAAGTTAGTTGCTATTTTCTCATATATTTTAATGATAATGTTTTAATTTGTGCTCATCCATTAGCAATTGGGTTTGATCCTTTTTAGTTTTAGAATCCAGTGTTTGATATCCATGAAATATAAGTATTGAAGGGGCAAAATGAAATATATAACATAATTCTTTTCTGAGGATCTCCTTTTATTTTTAAAGTATAGACAGATAAAAACCTCCTTTTGGAAGTTTTGAGCGTGGCATTTAGTTTAGAGTCCAGAAGCTAATTTTCTTCTCTTAGCTACTCTCCTTGCATCCTACTAAATCAGGGTGAGCAGGTCGCCTATGCTCCAAGTTCTCACTGATTCCTTGTCTCCTATGGATGGAAGCCCAGAACATCTGACAACATGAATGTACCTCCACCCTGGCCCTCACCTACCTTTTGTCTCTCCACATCCTAAGTTTGCTATACCCTTCTACCCTCACCCTCCCCTTTTTTGTGCTTTGTTTATTTAGTGCCTGAGACTGAACCCAGGACCTTATGAATACTAGGCATGTGCTGTACCACTGGGCTACATACACCATCAGATTCTCCCCTGCTCCCATCCCCAGAATGTCTTCTGGGTTTCCCCATATATATCATCCTTCTACAAAAATCCTTAGCTTTCAGGGCACAGCTCAAAATCTACTTCTTCCATAAGGCTTTTCCCAACTTCCCTTATTTGAACTAGTTGCGTCTGCCTTTGTACTTTTAAAGCATTTTGATGAAATCTCCATCATGGAATTTATTTTATGCTTTACTATATTACGCATAGTGATTTTCCCATTAGAACCCTCACTAATCCTAGATCTTTTGTGGTATCATTATTAAATTGGTCCCTACCCAATTTAATCTCTAAGATGGCTCCCAACTCTCCCCACCTCTTGGTACTCCCACCATTGCTTTTTTTCCTCTCCTTGAGTATGAAATGGAGTGTCAGCCTTACTTCTTACAAATAGAATATGGCAGAAGTGATGGAGTTGGATATCACCTATGAGATTAGTTTATTAAAAATAAAAAAAAGAACATGGCTTCTATCTTGGGTGTTTCTCTCATTACTCACTCTAGGCAAAGCATACTGCCATGTTGTGAGCAGCTCAGGGAGAAGAAGGTGCACATGATATGGTAAGAAAGAGGCCCTCAGCCCAATGACCCTGAGGAACTGAAGCCTGCCAACAACGGTGGGAGTGAGCGTGGGAAGCAGATCCTAAAGCGCTAGTCAAATTGCCAGAGGACTCTTGCCCTCATTTATAGCAAAACTAAGATATCAGAAACCTTCAGCCAGAACCACCCTGTTAAGTTGCCGCCAAATTCCTGACCCAGAGAAACTGAGAGCCCATAATGTTTTATTTAAATAATTAAAAAAATTAATCAGCACATAATTGTGCATGTTGATGGGGTACACTGTACCATATGTGCGCATATGGTGTGTAATAACTGCATCAGGAAAATTGCCATATCCATCATCTCAAACATTTATCATTTGTGTTGGAAAGACTCAGCGTCCTCTTTACTAGCTATGTTGAGATATACAGTTAATCATTGTTGACTGTTGTTCTCCTACTGTGCTATAGAAGAATTAGAATTATTCTTTCTATCCAATTATATACCTATATGTATTAACCATCTTCCTCCATCCCCCATCCTTCCCAGCTTTGGTAACTAGTATACCAGGTTCTTTGAGATCAACTTTTTAAGCTCTTATATGTGGAGCTTAAAATAAGTGAGAACTTGAAGTATTTGTATTTCACTTAACCTAATGTCCTCTGGGCATGTTCATGTTGCTGCAAATGACAGAATGCTATTCTTTTTTTGTGGCTAGCTAATATTCAATTCCATCTGTTGTGGACACTTAGATGGATTCAACTTTGGCAAATAAGACAAAAATTGGTTCCTACCCTATCACTTCCATTGTTTATTTCCAAGGGCACACAGACATTGCTATAGTCACTGAAAATAATAGGAATCTAGCCTTCCTAGGTAGGCTGGCAATTTTTAGGAATGGCTGAAAAGACTTAATAGAATACTTACAAAGCAGAAGTAAGGCGCCCGTGGCGATCATGCCTATTCCTCCTGGTCCAAGTCCATTTGACTCTTCAACTTGATCATCAGTGGCGGACACATAAATGTCGTCAGTAACCGAGCTGACATCCCCAGTGTAGATGCCTGTGGTGCTAGAGTCCAAGCAAATGCTGTTGTCACATGAGCAGGCCTCTAACTGCACAACCTGTGGCAATTCACATGCTCTGTTATAGCTGTCCTTCACTAGGATTGGGATCTGGTAAAGTCCTGGAGATAAAGTCTGCTCAGTCATAAGGATCACAGAAGTTTCTGAAAAGGAAGAGAGGAAACAGAACAAGTTCAGATTCCTTGGTCATCCTTTCTTATACCCAAGGCAACCTTACAACCTGAAGTTTTCATGCTCTTGGTTATAGTGTACCCTGTCCTTTTCTTTTTCTTTTATAATTGATTGTTCAATATTGATCCCTGCTACACTGTTATTTTTACAAAGCAAGAGGGAATTCTATTATTTATTTTCAGAGCACTAGTACTTGGTATATAACATATACTCAATAAATATTTATTTATCAGTAATACTGAGTTGAAAGAAAATATCTGAAGGCTTGTATTCTGGATTGTAGTGTATAAAATAGTCTCCTTAGGACTGTTATTTATCTCTTTTAAAATTGTTGCCTTCCCATTTAAAATTAATTTATTAATTATTCTCCTAATTCTTCATACTATCATTGCTTTAGATTTTATAGAAAATATTGCTTATGACATTGGTTGGAATTTATCAACCTAAGGAGGATTTAGGGGTGATTAACTTTGTACCTAAACCATGAATAATAACTGATTAATCATATCACAATATTTTTATTATTATGGCTTATTACCTTCTGTTAGCTACATGATAAGCCATCAAGGTCTACCAAAATCTAATGTGTGCACAAAATAAGAATAAGATGAGACCATATCACAGCAGGTTAGGTAAGGTTCGTTCTGTTCTTCAACACCAGCTGGCTCCAGGAACATTACCTCCAGTGTAGTTATATTTTTATTGGCCAATCTGTAACATCATGTGGATACTTCTACCAAACTTCACATATAATATTTCTTCTTTTCTTTTTTTTCCCCAGTACTGGGGATTGAACTCAGGGCCTTGTGTGTATAAGCTCTCTACCATTTGAGACACTCTTTCAGTCCTTTTGTTTGTATTTTGACTTTGACAGAGGGTCTTTCCAATGCCCAGGCTGGCCTCAAACTCATGTTCCTCCTGTCTCCACCTCCCAAGTAGCTGGGATTGCAAGTCTGTACCACCATGCCCAGCAGGAACCTTTTGTTCTTACATATTTACTTTAAATATTGAGATTTGAATGAAGAAAAAAATGATTAGTAATTATTATTTAAGAATGGATGGGGCTGGGTATGGTATTTCATGCTTGTAATCCCAGCTACTCTGGAGGTGGCGATCAGGAAGATCTTCATTCAAGACCAGTACTGGCAAAAAATTAGTGAAACCCCATCTCAAGGAGAAAGCTGGGTGTGGTGGTATGTATTTGTAATCCTAATTAGGTCAGAAACATAAATAGGAGTATCACAGTCTAGGCTGGCTTGGGCACAATGTAAGACCCTGTCTAAAAACTAATCAAAGCAAAAAGCTGGGTATATTATTCAAGTGGTAGAGCAAGTGCAAGGCCCTAAATTCCACCCTCAGTACTGCCAAAAAAGGGGAGAGCACTATTTAGCTTTATAGGGGCAGGTGGATTCTGAGTTGTCTTGATTTTAAGGAAATTACTTGAACATGTTTAGCTTTTAAAATATTAACGTGGTTTCATGAAAAAAAAAAAGCTTGATGGTAAAAAACAACTTGTCTAATTTCTTCTTGGGATTTGAACTCAAGGCCTTGTGCTTGCTAGTAGGTGATCTACTACTTGAACCATGCCTCCAGGCTGAGACCAAATCTTTATTGGCATTTTTTCCCACTATCATTTAATGTTTCTGCATTTGGTGAATTCTGTGAATGTTGAAGTCTGGTGGCTTCAGTGAGGTGGGAAGAATTTCCTCACCCCTTGGGCTCTGCAGTCTGATCCTCATGCCCCACCCCATGAAGTCTTTCACATTCTCCAAAGTGAATGTGAAATTGGGGAGCTATCTTTGCTCACATAAGGTCCTCCCATGGCATTCCATTTTCTATTGCACATTTAACATTTCACGAAGAACCCATAGTAGATGAAATGCTGTGTTGTCTGAAACTTACTCCTTTCATTTGCAAATCAATGTCAAGTATTTATTTTCATGTAGCCACAGCTTGCATATATGTGCTGCTTTGGGATCTGTTTTTCACTTTATATTCTTTCATTTATGTGTTCTTTTGTATTTCAAAACTTTGCATGATTCTATTTTAATGGCTGTATAGTTCAACATCTTAATAAAATGGATAATATGTACTATAGTTTTGCTCAACCATTTCTCAAATATTAGGCAATTTGTATTTAGTTTTTACTTTTACAAATAATAGCCTTTGATAGAACAGTCTCACTGATCTTATGTGCTCCTTAGTGAGAAGAAAATGTGTAAATGGATCTTGGGTTATCTAAGTTTCAAAGACATTTGTATGACTTGTCAGAAACTATACAGAACAGGGGACTGTGACATCTGCGAAGTTAGTCAAGGGTCTTGTTTATTTCAAGTGATCAAGTATTGGTTTAGTGTCATCTATTTAGGATTACAGACAAACTAGCATTCATCCATTGCTATTTGTATTGGTGAAATATTTTGACTTTTATTTCAGTCTAAAAGTTTTTCTAATAACTTAAGGGTATATTTGAAAGTTTTTTCATTTAATCAATATGGCAAGAAATATAGAAAAAGATATATAAAAATGTATGTGCTAAATAACTAGATTAATTATTTAGTAATTGTTTTGCTTTCGGGCCTCAGGTGTGAGCAAGTTTGCATTGCACTCACCGTTTATTGGTCTGAGGTCCCATACGTTAGTTGTTTCTGATGATTCTTCAACAATACAGAAGGTAAAGGGAGACCCAAAAGATTGATCACTAACATAGATACGGACTGATGGGGAATCAATGCAGATGGTTCTTCTTTCAGAAAAAATGACCGGACAGTAATCGTTGGCATCAGGAACCTCAATACATATGGTTCCAGTTGCAGTTTTCCCAGAGCCATCTGAAAAGCAAAGCATCATGGGTGTTGGGGTAAATGATGTCAGGGAGAAAAATGTTCTCATGTCCCATGATGATTCCACACCATACAGGAATAGTAGGAGTACTTGTGAGGCCAGACCGATTTCTGCCTACTTCAATGATCTGCAGTTACTGCCTTTGTGTGGCAAAGTAATAGTGGTTTCTTTTGAATTTTTTCAACCATTTTCCTGATTTGAGACTCTGTGTACCCTGTTAAATATTCCTAAAATGTTTTCATTTTCATTTCATTCTGCTAAGTCTTATGCTTTTTTTTTTTTCCTGCACTGAGGTTTGAACTCAGAGTGTCTCACACTTGCTAGGCAGGCACTCTTACTGTTTGAGCCACTCTGTCAGCTTCCTGTGCATCTTAAGATGGAAAATTAAATGGTGTTCTCAGAAAAGGTGCACCGCTTTCTATTCTCACTTTGTCTCAGGAAATTAGACCCAAGGCCAGCTGATGGCCTTCCATTCAGGATGCTAATTCACCCTATGTGATGCAAATAACTATGGCTGGAATTAAATAATTGCTTCCATATTTTTTCTTTCTGTCCTCTTTGTTTATTTAAATTCCATTTTATTTCTTTCTGAAATGGCACTTCTGAAAACAAATATAAAATCTATTTGATTTTTTCCCCTAAACCATTTAAAACAAATTTTTCATTAGTATAATTTATTAGAAAAGGCAGGGCATTAGATTAGGAATCTGGGTTTGTCTCCTTTTCTACTTTATGTTCTGATATAGTGAATAATTGTTTTTTAACTTTTACCCAGAAAGAAGCCTTAATTTTTTCATTTGTAAGCTAGAATATCATCATGTCTAGGGTACTTTACTAAGTCATTTTCCAAGAGGTTAACAAACTTCTTTTAAAGAGTTTTTGCATGTCTAAGTGGTAGAGTCATGGGTTGATCAAATGATAATAAACCCAGAACCACACTGTGTCCTACATGATTTGGTGCAGTCTATTCTTATACTTTATTCGACATTGGACTTCCTAGACTATAGTATCTATTCACTCAGTCTCTCATTACAGAGACATCAGATTGTCCCATGGGATTGAATTATTTGTCATTTCCTGGTCCTCTGTAGCTTTCTTAGGGCCCTGTGAGCTGGCAACTAAAGCTCAAGCTACTGTTTCTAGGATTGCTCTGCCTCTGTCTCTTCACCTGCTGCCCATGCATCCTGGATCAAATGCAGCCATCTGGGTAGCTCTGTGCATAAATGATGGGCCTTGTTTTTAGTTTTCTCCTGGACATTTTCTCTTCATTCACATGAGGTGATTACTATTTCATTCTTGTATTTTGAAGATTGTCACATATTGTTACAATGTGCAAATGTAGAGCCTGATCAACATGGTTGTAATTCATTTCAGAAACAGTGCTTCCTGAATGCTTACAAGAAAGAATTAGACAATATTACTTCTATAACTGGCCCAGATGTTTAAAAAGTGATACTCTCGGTTGAAGAGCAGAATGTGTAGATTAATTTCTTGGACTTTTTAAGTCTTATGCTGCTCATTTATCTTTTTGTTGTTGTTGTTGTTTGGCTATTATAAATGTCAGATACAAACTTACTGCCAGCCTACCATATCTGTCTTACAGTAGACGTGTATTTGGCATGTCCAACTTTCCTCTACTTTCCTGTGCTGACCTTTCTCTGTTTTGTTTTCTAGCAGCTGGTTTCCTAGGCACTGGTCTGGAGAATCATTAACTATTGATAAATAAACAAACTCCTGTTGCTACTCAGCAAGAGGAATGTGTCATAGATTTTCTCATGTGAGAAGTGGCTCAATTACAAGTTAATTCAATGCACCTATGCTTATAGACGTCTAATTTGAATCTTATATTTGGAATGGCCTTTTATTTTCTTGGCTCAGAGCATTTTACCATGGGCAGTGGGTCTAATTAATGTAACACTCATGCAGCTTTCTCAATGTAGCTCAGTTTTGGTGGCTCTAAAATAACTATACTTTTGGGGACACTGCCTTCCCCTCAGGTGTTCCCACAATGAACTTCAGGCTCAGCTTTTATCTCTTAACTTTAGGTAAACATTCCTCACATAATCTACAAACGGGATTAGTCATACTTAAGAAATGAGGTCATAGACAGTAACTAAATTTTATTTTTGCGTACTTTAACTTTTATGCTTTAAACTGTAAATGATACAATTCTTTTTGGGAGTAAAAGAAAAAAATTATAACTTAATTGTAAATTATAGTTATAAGTGTAATTAAATCTAGTTCTTGGTCTAAGGTGCTTAAAATTCCATGAGTCTTGCCTTACAGTACTAAACGATACATTTTGAGTCACTCAAATATCAACATTAGAACAGTAACATTAATTTGATTTAATATAATAGTACTAATTTTATTAAAATACTAAAACATTTTCTTACCATCTATTGCCAGGATCTCTGCTGTATACATGCCATTGGTAATATATTTTGACTTCGTATCAAATTCCCTAGAAAATTGTATCTCACCAGTCCTTGAATCAACTTTTAACCAGCTGCCTGCATCATGCCCTATGAGATACCTGTTTTTAAATAAAGAAATTCATCATTACGCTTCTATGAAAATTAATACTTTTAAATCACAGAAGAGCGGCCACATGGTAAACTTATGTGTTGTGCTTGTGTGATTTATGGTGGTAACTGTCTTGTTTTCTAAAATGTCTGTATCTCTATAAGAAGCCAGTATTAATGCAAAGGTGCACAACAAAATTTCATCATCCTTACTCTCCCAGCTCTTAGTATAACTAATAAAATATATGAGCTTATTTTAGGTTTATTTATTGTCACAATGAAATGCCATTTATTCATTTCCACACCTGGAATAGTTAGTGTGTTTGTTGTAGATTTTAGGACATGTTGGTTTCAGAATACCTCACTGGCAGCCCATTCAAGGCCTCATGGTATCTATCCTCTATTCAGCTTCTTTGTCTGGGAGTTGTTTTGGATAATGGCTTTAAAGAGCTTGACCTAATTAGGAGATTAGGTTCTCTCTACCAGGCACGATTTCAAGTCTTCCATTTGTTCATCTCATCTTCTTTTTCCTTTTCCCCACAGTAATAGACTCATATTTTTTTCTTGAGTCTGTTAACTTGTAGTTGATTAAATCATTAAAACTGTTGACACGGAAGTAACTTATAAGTTAATAGACTTTGTACATTCCAAAAATATTGGGAGGAAAAAAAGGATAGAGAGAGATTGGACGTATACAGAGAGGAAATCCCTATTTCCCTGTAGTTATTTCCGGAATATTTAACATAGTTTTAATTTGCATATAGTCTGTGTACCTAATGCCTTTAATACTCATTTTTCTATTTCTCTTGTTCTACCTCTGTGCTTATCACATTTCTGAAACACCTGGTTTTTTGCTTCTTCCCTTGTTTTTGTCCTCTTTTTTTTAAGCAGAGGGTTAAAATTAGTCTCAAAGTCAAAGTTATTGACAGGTTTCAACAAGACAAGAGTCAATAGCTCATTTTTTTTTTTAAATGGTGTGATATTGTCCACATCACAGTGCATCAGCCCTAGTCCAGGGCAGTACAACTGGGCATAAAAGATCAATGAGGCTCTTGGAATAACTTAGGTGACTCTTTGATCTTACAGTTGTTTCCTGGGCACAATTGCTCTTATAATCAACCTGACCCCTTGCAGTCTCTAAAACAGTATTAAAATCTAAGAAAATTTCAAGTGCTGTTTTAGTTTACTAAAACAAACAAAGCAAAGCAAAACAAAGTCCCCAAAGTATTACAACTAACACATCCTAGCACATTCTACATGAATTAGCACTGGAACCATGCCACACAAACAAGGGTTTGCAGTACCTGACATTTGTTGCAGGATTTCCTGTGTCCAAATCTATGGCTGTGTATGTGCCAAGCACATAATTCAATAAGGAATCCCCTCTTATTCCTTCTCGTACACTAAAAGTCATGGAACTTGGCTGAAATGTAGGTCCTTCTCTCACATTGATGATCTGAATTCTCACAGGGGTTGAGTGCATTCGGAATTGAGAAGCAACCGAGTGGTGAAAATCAGCTTGGTTTTTAACTCCGACGCTGAGATGAACATTAGGCATTTGTTCATAATCTAGTATCTGAAAAGATGGAAAATAAAAAAAAAACAACAAACCTCTGAGACAGTAAAGGAGTCTCTTTTTGATTAAGTAAGAAACCATGGTAAGCAAACTGTACACTAGAAAAAAGTACAGGAGCTATGCAACCAAGATTTTGAACTGAAATAGTTTCAGTTACTACTGAGTTAGGTATTTTATACATATGACTTGCTTTACCTCTCAGCAGTATCACGTTTGTAGATTATTTGATCCTGTGGCTTTATTTGTTAATTTGTTTGCGTTTTGTGGTGCTGGGTATAGGACCGAGGGCCTGTACATGTTTGGCAAATGCTCTCCCACTGAGCTACCTCTCCATCCCTGTGACTTTAAATTAGAATCACATTTTGGAGTTTTGAATTTCTTATATAAAAATGCTAAGATGAAAAATGATATTTCTTTTCAAATGAACTTTTTATGAAAAAGAAAAAGTCAATTTAGTAGCGAGACATTGTTGTGTGCCTGTAATCCCAGCTACTCCTGTGGTGGGGGCAAGAGAACTGTGAGTGTGAGATCAACCCTGGGCAAAGGTAGCATAAGACACTGTCTCAAAAACAAAACTGAAACAAAAGGGCTGGGGAGTGGCTCAACTGGTAAAGGCCTAGCCTAGCAAATGTTCAATCCCCAGTACCACACATCCATACACAAAAGAACCCGCTTTGAAAGAAATAAAAAATGTTCACTACTGTTGAATGAATAAGTGAATACAACATAGGTTTCCTTTGTAGAATTCACATCTGAGAATCTCTTAAAAGTACTAAGAGTAGATTAAAGGAGCCAGTATATATGATGTAACTAAATATATTATTATTTTTTAAATGATGCAAACAATTCTAAAGAATTGGTGAGTATTATAGCCAACCCTACACTATAATTTCATTTCACTGGGTTTGGGTACATTCAAATAAGTAAATACCACACCCTGAGAAAAGTCACCTTTGAACTGGATTCCCTGGATAAAAGATGAATAGAAACTTTTGATCCAGCGTGGTTGAAGTGGAGACATAAAAGGTTGCAAGTGAAAAAGCTGTTGTAAAAAGGGAGTGCTAGCAATGTCTACCTCCAAGTGCTTGGGAAGCTAAGGTGAACACCATTTGCAACATGGTTGCCAAGGACTAAAGTCAAGGTCTCTGTGCCCCATAAAATTTTATGATATCACGAATATTTTCTTAGGTTTTACAGTGAAATTTCTGAACAAAGCGAAGAGAGCTATTTGTACAAATTATCTTGAGGTCTTGTTTGGAGATGACTTAGCATACCTCACTTGAATTTCAGTCAAAACCTTTGAGATTTGGGATTTTGATAGCTCTCCTGCATTTATTTGCAGATGACTCCATTAATATCTCGTCTACTAGTTCCACATAATCAGTCAGTACCCAAGATACCTAGCACAGGGCTAACCATGAATTATGTACTAAAGATGAATTTCCCATTGGAAGATTCTTCTGCTACTCAGATTTCATTTTCCAGATTTCTGTGCTATCTTCAAATAAATGGAAAATCTGAGAACCTCTATTCAGATTGAGAAATCTCTCGGAGTTTTCTTATGTGTACTCACAAATGCACGTTTATTTGTGTGAATAGTTCTCTCATTGAACAGAGTGTGATAAACATTACTAACATGTGTCTAAAGTTGTATCAATTAAAATTCACAGAGAATAGAGACAGGAAATTGACTGAGGCTCAATCTTCTGTCTTGCAGGGAAGATGACAGAAAGCAGAGGAAAGGCACAAAGTTGCATTCCTGCCTTACCAAGGATGTTCTAATTGTGTCTAGAGGCCTGAGATTTGCAAAGAGCAATAAAAACAACTGTTTATTCATTCTGTGCAAGGTTAGCCAGGCTCAGAAGACCAAAAATCGTATGTTTTCCCTCATATGTGGACTTTAGATCTAGGGCAAAGGCAGTAATGTTGTTGGACTTGAGTTACACACTAAGGGGCGAGCACATAGGGAAGGAATGGGGATAGGTAAGAAACCCAAAACATGAAGTGTCTGATGTCCCCGCTGCAGAGGAGCTAATACAGAAACCTTAAAGCGACAGAGATCAATATGGGAAGGGGATCAGGAACTAGTGAAAGGTCAGGTAAAGATGAATCAATTTGGATTGTAACACACTTGTGTGTGGAAGCAATACCAGGAATTTCTCTGTATAGCTATCCTTATCTCAGCTAGCAAAAAGTCTTTGTCTTTCTTATGTCTTCAATAAAAATGGAGAAAAGGGCAGAACAGGTTCTGCCTGGAAAGGGAGGGGGAATGGGGGGATGGAGGGGAGAGGAAGGGAGCAGGAGGCAGGGGAGAGAAATGGCCCAAACAATGTATGCACATATGAATAAATGAATAAAAAATTTTAAAAAACAAAAAAATAACTTTTTACTCCAGTCTCTTTTTAGAGGTTGGAAAAACTTGATCTCTTCAGTTTAAGGTATGATAGAAGAGAAAACACTTAATGAGGATACATAGGTGTGTATTTTGTTTCACTTTCTGTGAAAAGGAATCACTATAGTTTCTTCTCAGAGTAGTGAGGATTAAATGAGGTCATATGTGTAAAGCTTTTATGTGTCAAATATAACACAATAGTTAGAGTTTTGCTTAATAAAGATTAGTGTATGCCCCTTTCATTATTCATGCTAGCAATTCCATTTAGAAGGTCTTATTTTAACCTTGTTCTCTGAATGAAACCTTTTCAGACAAATCTAGCTCAGAAGGATACTTTCTTCTCTTATCTCATTAGTTACCTCATATTTTATCCACTTGGCAATTAACAGTATTTCCTATCATAAAATCTGTGCCATCATTTATCACATTGCTATTTCACAGACATCATCTGCTTTTGGACTGCTTTCCTTATCCTCTCACGTAGGTATTAGGCACTGTGAGAATAAAACAGCCCTCTTATTTTTCTTTGTGATGACTATTGCGAGGCTAGGCTGGAAGTCTCTGATTCTCATGGTGGCTTACTTAGGACAGTTGTTCATATAAACAGTATTCAAGGTCCTGGTGTACTTTCTTGAAGACAGAATCTGTTTCTAAGAGCCATTTAAAACTTTGGATGAGAATATTACAGAGCCCACACTGTACCTTAACGACTTTCAAAATTCCTTCGTTGGTTTGTGGATCTGTTTGAATATCAAACCAATTCCCATCATTTCCGGAGAGGATTAAATATTTTGCCAACCAATTATCAGTGCCTTCTTCATCAAGATCAATTGCTTGTAATCTTATCAGTTCAGAACTCAAACAATTCTCTTCAATACTTGCTGAATACTGAAATGACATTGATCAATTTTATAATCAAGATTCATTGATTAGTTATTTTCTAATACATAATTGCCTTCTGAAATGTTAACAACAGACCACATCATTGATTTTTTGTGCCATTATCACATGGCATAAATCCAATCAAAAATATAAGAATTAAATGATTGTAAGATAATAAGACAACTTCATGTACTATATGTGAAGTCAATATCCAACTAAAACTTTGCTTCATTTTTTTTTTTGCTTATTTTTAGTTTTTCCCTCTTTTAGATAAGGATCAGATTTCTTTATAAAGGGACAGATAGGAAATAAATTAGGCTTTGTGGGCCCGAAAAATCTACATTGCAGCTGCTTGTCTCCCCAGAAAGTAGCCATGGATAATATGGAAAAGAATGATTAATAAGATATATTTTTACCAAAACAGATGGAAAGGCAGACTTGATCCTGCTATTTTAGATTTTATGCTTCTTTATGTGTAAAAATGAAAATGGAAGCTGAGACTGTTTGGGGCTCCGTTAGAATTAGTTCAGTGAATCATGAGGCATAAACAAATATACTATAATCGTTACGTTATTCCCAGAGTCAGTATCAACAGATTTCCAGTTTCTGTGGTTAGAGTACGTGAGGTAGATTGCTATTGCTTTTGCAGAGAAGGTTTGCTTGGAATAGTGAGTTAGAGATTAATATAGAATAATAAAGTGTGGTATTATACATAAGAAATTCTAAGGTTTATATACAATAAAGCTGAACCCATCCGTACATGTGATAGAGTCATGCTCACAAACTAGCAGGAAAGCAAATTGATTATTGACACTTACTGGAAAAGGACCATAAGAGTAGTAACTTACTGAAGTTTTCTCTAAGATAGGGAAATTATCGTTGACATCTAGGACCTTGATTCTACAGTCACACTCGGCAGACAGTCCGTCTGTGGCTCCATCCCGATCTGAGCCCCTCACGAGTAGGTTGTACATACTGTGTTGCTGAATTAAGATGAAATTGTAAGACTTAGGTCTTGCCTTGAATACAATCCAACATATTCAAATTCTATCATTTCTTTTATAGACACATCAAATGAAATCTTTATCACTGATCCTTTAACTTTCTGTTACAACGATTGCAATATTTCTCTTCCCTTTCTTTGTATTGGAGCAAGGCATATATGGATCATTTTATCTCTGTCTTTCCAGAATTGAATTCTTAATGTCTTACTATGCACTCATGGCAGGCTTTACCTCTCTGTCAAGGAAATTGGACATCGTGCGGACTTCTCCAGTGTACCTGTTCACCATGAACATTGGTGTACCAGCAGGCTCCTGAGAAATGATCTTGTAGGCGATTTTAGAATTCAGATGATTGTCTTCGTCTGCATCTGTGGCACTTAACTTAACAACCAGTGAATCTAGAAATAAGGATGGAGGTGGCAAACAATTGGAAGTCTGAGAATTAATTTATCGAGTCATTAGACTTGAAAAGAAAGAGTGGTTGGCCTTCTGAATTCCCTCCCTTCAAGTTTCTATAAGACTATATTGCCATAACTTACAGCTGTACCAGTGATTATAAAAATAACACTGATTTGCTTCTATGAAATTCTTTATAGTTTACGAAGTACTTTCACTCTTTAAGTGATTAAAGTTAGTAACAAAATATAGTAGCCTTTAATGTATGAAAAAGAACTTCAGTAGACTATCATAAAGCAAAGGAGTTGATTTTATTAGATTCGTTTTTGCCATGGTCTTGTGAAATTATTTTAACATGCTTAATTAAGAAAGATTATAGCCTAGTTAAATTCAGCCTTGAAATTATTTGTTGATATCCATATTCTTAATTGTCCCTCATCCAGAAAGCAAAGAATTGCTGTTGGTTGCACTGGAAGATAGCAGCACTTTATTAAATAGTCAAAAGTATGTAACTATTGAAAAGATTTGAGGCCAGGGATGGTGCTCACCCCCTATAATTTCTAGCTACTGGGAGGCAAAGGTAGAAGGACTGTGGTCCAAGGCTAACTTGGGCAAAAGACTGAGACCTTATCTGAAAAACAAAGTAAATGCAAAAAAGGACTGGGAGTGTGGTTTAATTGGTAGAGTGCCTGCCTAGCAAATGCAAGGCCCTGAATTTAATCTCCAATACTGCAAAAAAGAAAAAAAAGATTTGATCAGAGGAATATAAGAAGTTCTTAATTATTTCCAGAGAAAAACAACAGGTATCGCAGTCAATTCCCAAGCATCAGTCCACAGGACAGATATTCCAGAGTTGACAGGTCCCTGGTGTTTTTTTGCTTCCCAGGTCCCAAAGTGAAAAATCCTACCCTAGAGAACCAGGGATAACCTTGAACAGAAAGAGCCAGGATTCTCACCAGAGAAAGGAAGGGTTAACAAACTGTTAATCAAAAACTTCTGAATTTCCCCTTCTCTTCCCTTACCAAGCCTGTTGGAAGTATGTAAGCAAGGAAAGAGACTTTGGAGTTGCTGTCTCAGTTTTGCCTCCCTTAGGCAAAACCCTCTTTGCACCTTTGTGTCCTCCTGTCCTATATGTTAAAGGACATTTTGCATTTATTTGCTTCTTTTTCCTAATATTTTCCCACAAGTGTATTTACAGGTGTATCAGCAGATATAGATTTGAAAGGGAAAGGAAGATTAGAGGACTAGGGGAAAAGAAGTAGAGGGAGAGGAGAGAGAGGGAGCAGTAGCATCAGAAAAACATGAGGAGGAAGAAAAGAAAGCTCAGAACTCACATAACAGGAGCAAGCAGAAGGACACTGGGGTTGGAATAGCATTAAGTAGGATGGAGAGAAATGAAAAAATGGGAGTGCATAGGGTCACTTGCTGCATTGACAGTGAAGACAGGTGCTTGCTCTCAGTGATTGATCTGATGGGGACAATCAGGCAGACATCACTATCACTCTGCCTAGGATGGTTCAGCCATCAATTGTGAGAAACAGAACAGAACAGAGCCCCTTTTGACAATCATGGTTTCAGTTTACTCCAACCAAGTTAATCATTAGCCCACTAATCTTTTTTTTTTTCATTTTTCTTTTATTATTCATATGTGCATACAAGGCTTGGTTCATTTCTTCCCCATGCCCCCACCCCCTCCCTTACCACCCACTCCACCCCCTCCTTCCTCCCCCTCCCCCCCAATACCCAGCAGAAACTATTTTGCCCTTATCTCTAATTTTGTTGTAGAGAGAGTATAAGCAATAATAGGAAGGAACAAGGGTTTTTGCTGGTTGAGATAAGGATAGCTATACAGGGCATTGACTCACATTGATTTCCTGTGCGTGGGTGTTACCTTCTAGGTTAATTCTTTTTGATCTAACCTTTTCTCTAGTACCTGTTCCCTTTTCCTATTGGCCTCAGTTGCTTTAAGGTATCTGCTTTAGTTTCTCTGCGTTAAGGGCAACAAATGCTAGCTAGTTTTTTAGGTGTCTTACCTATCCTCACCCCTCCCTTGTGTGCTCTCGCTTTTATCATGTGCTCAAAGTCCAATCCCCTTGTTGTGTTTGCCCTTGATCTAATGTCCACATATGAGGGAGAACATACGATTTTTGGTCTTTTGTAGCCCACTAATCTTTAAGGGAGGTGCTAAGGACTAGCTCAACTGCCTGTGTAAGAATCTTCTACAAATAAGAGGGTATTTACTATATGAGACGTATTTTTTTCTAGCTGAGAGATAAGCTAAATTTTATTTTATTCGAACGCAAGCTTGGTTTTTTTCTGATATGTATCTTCCAAAGCATTTGAGCCAAGGAAGTAGATAGGGGGTTATGCGGAGAACGGGCGACATCATACTTACTGGCATCACTGTTTTCTTCAATGTTGGCTGTGTACACGTTTTGTGTGAAGACTGGGGGGTTATCATTTATGTCCATAACTTTGACTCTGAGCTCAAGAGGCCTCTCTAAATCTTCACCCCGTGAATTCAGAGCCCGGCAGTAGATCTGTGGAAAGTTAAAAAAAAAAAAATCAAAAAACTTTCTTCACTAAAGGAAATTAAATGACATTCTTGAAAATATGGGAAACTATGCAAAGAAATAATATTTTTCTTTGAATTCAGACTATATTACTTTTAACCTTTTAACCCATTGGTTTGTTTCAACATACTATGTTTTACACAAAGTCAGACATAGCCCTGAGATAATGCTTTACACATTTTAATGGGGTTCTTCATGACATTTTTATGTCACGATGTAATGTACTCTGAGATGATTTTTTTTAAAAAAAGGGACAGAAGAACGAATCAAAACACACTGCTGAGACTTACCAAGAAAAGTGGAGTTATCTCTCTATCTACCACTGAAGTGATATTAATTTCTCCAGTCCGGGGATTAATGGTGAACACTCCATAAGGTGGTCGATCAATCCCTGCTCCAGAGATTCGGTATGTAATCTTCTGGTTCACTTCGCAATCTGATCGAATCTACAAGCAAAATGACTAGAATTGTGATTTAATTTAGAGCAGATCAGAAACCTCAGAGCACGGCAGAATGAAAAGAAAGTGGGAATCATAACCAAATGAGCTTCAGTTTGAAACATATCATGACTTAGTCCTACGTGACTTTGGGTCATTGGTCTTCTCCAAGCACCAGCTTCTGGTAGGGATAAAATCATTAGTTTAGAGGTTCTGTGTGGGATTTCTGAAGTACAGAATATACAGCTCAGCGCAATGCATGTGTGAGCAAGACACGTACACACTTAATGCCAATATTGCTGTTATTAGCAATATGTTGCTAGATTCTCTGATTTAGTTTGCATATAGAGAATCTGGTCCTGCTTGGGGGTGTGTTGGTACCAGTGCAAGGGGGGAGGAGGTGGGGAAAGGACATGGGAGGGTGAATATGGTGCAAATACTGTGTTCACATGTATGTAAATAGAAAAATGATACCTGCACTGAAACTTTTCCAGGAATAGGGGAAGGGAGATAAAGGAGAATGGTGGGTAGGATGAATTCAAGTATGATATATTTGAAGAATTTTTGTAAATGCCACAATGTACCCCCAGCCAGCACAATCATAAAAAAAAGTACAGAATCTGGTAGAACTCAGAATCTTTAGTATTTTTTTAAAGTTGTGATACCTTACTAGTACCCTGCTTAGACTTGAGTTTGACATAAATTAAGAAATTCTGGAGAGAAATACAGTGTTTAGAGATGGAAAAATTTTCATAAATTCAAATCTACAGTATCACTCTTCTCTCAGATTTTATGGTCAATATGCTGCCATATGGTTACTGTTTTAATAATTTTATATCTACTGCTGATAAATTTAAACTAAGTTTAAAATTTGTAATCTTCCCTATACACTAAAGATGGGAACAAGTGGTAAAATATTAAGATTTGTTACCCAACTATTAAATTTAAAGTCAGCTGGAAATACAGCTTTGATTAGCTTGACTTAAATCCAAAAATCATTTTTTAATAAAAGAAAATGCAGGAATCCCCAAAAGGCAAATAAAAAAGAACAATATCAGTGAGAGAAGAGAAAGCTATGAGTTAAATGGAAATAATAACTTGAAAGTTTCTTCCAAAGTTGAAGACTTCGGAGAAAATCTTCTTGAGCTGAGGTTATGTTTATAACATCATTGCTGATGATTACTCTGATTTAATGTAAAGCTGCAAGGAGATGATCTTGGTGGATCACTCTCCTTTGGCCCAAGGCCAAGATGCCCAGAAAGACCTAGTGAAACTAGATGTGAATCTTAGTCTTCACAGATGTATTAATTACACATTCTTCCTTTAACAGTCTTTCCTCATTGGTAGCCATTGCTTGAGTCTTGAGAAGCAAGACTCATCTTGCTTCTGAATGTAAAGACCTGGTAGGAACTTTTAACACTATCCTTACATTCTTGAATTAACCAAATGTAGTAGACTTTTGGTCCTGACTTGACTTGACATTTTGGTGAGTTTGTCTTCAGGATATCATAAATTTCCTGTACCATATACAAACAACAATGAGCAGAACACAAATAGACCAAGACCAGTTATGCTGGTCTTTCTTCTATAAGGATTACTTGCTAGGACCCTTTTCTCTGTATGCGTCCCCACCATGTGAGATCCAAAAGGGTCTCAGCCACACAAGCGAATGATTCTGTGCTATCTTCTCGAATCACAATGGGCAGCAAAGTGTGCAAGTCCCTGAAACATTTCGGAGATCTCCTGCCCACAAAAGCATCGGCTATTTGCTCAGGATCTTCCTGCTCAGTTTATCACTCACTCTGGCAATCGGATTCCTCTTGGAGTTGTCTTCTCCTTCTCGACAGGCTGCAGCAAACTTGATCCACTCCCGTTTTTGTCTCCTGACTGTTTGCCACGTTGTAGTGCCATTTTCAATGTCTAATTCTTTTACCTTAAGCAAAAATAATTCGTATTTCTTATAGTGTTAGAACACTTTTATTTAGCACAGACATTTATTTAATATTGTAAGGTGCTTCCAGAAAAAAAATTAGTGTTGAATTTGATGAACAAAGGAAGTTTTTACTAAATCACAACTCTGCATGGAAATAACTTGCCAACCCCTGACTGCTACTTCTTTGGAATGATCTCATTTCTAATTATTGGATTCTAGTGAAACAAGTTTTATTAGCTATATGTAGTGCTTACAATGTTCTACACTGCATAATGTAGTGTGGTTTTCTTTATTCCATCTATCTTCCTTACCTTTCTCACCCTCCCTTGAGTTCTGGCCTGACTTTACTGTCCTCAGAATTTAAAGATTGCCAGTGCTCTGTGTGAGTGCAAAATGAAAGTTGTGTCCACCTACAAGAGAAAGGGATGTTTCTCTTCTGTTGATAAGGACATCCAAATATGTTATTCAGAAATTAGAAGAATAGTATTAACTTAATTGACAGCATTGGTAAATAATCCTATGGACACCTCCGTAGCTCTATGTTGTATATTTGTTTATCTGCTTGCTATAGTTTGTCCACTTGAAGTTTTATATTGCTATTGTTGGTGGATGCTTAAGAATTTTATATTACTGAAGAGTTTAGAAATGCTATTGCATGCATAAACACATTTGTACACAGGCATGAAACATACATATGTGTATATCTATTTTTGGAAGTCATAATGTCCTTATTGAGGCACAGGTGACTGTGTATTTATTTAAGCTAAGGCTTTATTTAATTGCCACTTTTGAGGATGCATATATTCCACATGAATGATGTTTATTCTTTCAAGAACCAAAGCCTTTACATCCCCCCCCCCATTTTAATACAACTACCTGAAATGACCACATATTTCCAATTTTGCCAAAATTATTTAGAAAAGTAATTTTATTTTGGGATTTGAGATGATCATAATGAAAATTTATCTACCATAGTAAAATTAAACTCCACAAGATATAAGACAGTAGATTTATTTCCTGAGTCCCATTCTAAAAGGAATTGGATTCTCTGTTGGTTTATTGAATTGCACTTACCTATTTTAAAAATTTTTGCATCTTTTCATGATTCATAGACTATGAATTATCTTTTTGGTTGATATGTTTAAAGTGTTTCTTTGCTTGTTTTGCTTTCATATAAGTTGGGCAGCATTAAATAAGCTACTAGCATAGTTTGATAAGTAGGAGTTATTAAGACACTGACCCATCTCAAATCATGCCAGAAAAGCATAGAAATCTCAGGCCATGGGTTTGACCATTGCTGTTTTACTTTGGCAGAGTTTTTTTTCTCTTAATCTGGATAATTATGGTTTCAAATATTCTAATTTTTAATATAGTATGCATTTTAAAATCCAATTTTCATTTTAATGTTACATATAGAAAATAATTTTGATATACATTACCTCGACAATAAATTCACTGTTTACTTCCAGTACCACCTGTTAAGAAAGGCACAGTATTAACACAAATTTGCATAATTTACAGAAAGCAGTGTCCTAAAAGCATTGATGATATTCTTTTATTAATTCATTTCTTAAATATACATATGATTCATAATACAAAATAAATATGAGTAATAGAAAGCAAGTAACACAGACTTTTGCCTTCAAAAGGTTTTTAAACTCTTAGAGAAGACAAAAGCACAACTACAACAAGGCAGGTGAGGACATGTGCTGCAAGAGAGGCACAGGTGGTCTCAGTGGAAGGGTAGAGCATATAGCTCCAGTTATCAAAGTGGATTTAGGGTCGGTCTTACAGGGGACAAGATTTGAAAAAACTGCAGGATGAAGCTGTTTTGATGAGAGAAAGTGATGAGGAAAAACTTTTCAGTCAGAGTAAAACAAGAATATAAAGGCATTATATTTCAGGGGACGCGACAGAAATGGTAAGGATCATTGGCAGGAAGGTAGAGGCACCATGCAGACAAGGTTTGGAATGTCACTTCAAGAGCAGAGTGTGAAGTGCTTTTACAGCAGGCTGAGGAATTTGTATTTAATTGGGTAGAGACTGGGAGTGACAAAAACATTGTCTTTAAAATATATCCTTGATAGGAAGGGAAGATTACAAGGGAAAGCAGATGAAGGCAAGACACTTAGGAATTTTTTAGCAATTGCTTAGGTAAGACACAGAATGAGAACTGTGGTGTTCCAGTGACACTGGGGCAGGGGGAGGATGGAGATATTACCAAAGAACTGAGGCCTAACAGACTGAGGGACATAAGAGAAGGAAGAGTCAGATCATTTAGGGTTGCATTTCTTAGAAAATGGAGGTACAGAAACAGAAAATTACAGAAAACAAAACATTATTCTATAGAAGATCATGGAATTATAGAAACAGAAAATTCTGTAGGAGAATTTCACTACAAGGAGATGTGGACTTAAATTTTCTCTACTCATTCTTTTGATATATTTCTATTATTTGTAATAAATACAGAATTTGAAAAAGTGGAATTTTTCCAAATGGTTTTTTGAAGTTGAAAATAAAATAGTTTAAGAATATAAATGAAGTCAGAAGAAAACAGAAGCTTGTGGGAAATGCTTACTCCTGTGCAAGGAACAGAAGGGAGAAGTCTAAAAGCAAAAGGCTTTCTCTGATAGACTAAGAGAATAGTCTATCCAACTCTGTGGGTACAGAGAAGATCCTTAACTAGGGTGAGAGGGATGAGAAGTGTGGAGGGTTGGGAAAGAAGCAGAGTTTAGAGAGAAGAGATTGGATCAGAAGGCAGAGATGAAATATCCAGAAGGAGGCAGAATGGGTGTAGTACAGTGCTAAGAAGTTAGACAAAGAAGGAATATTTAATATTTGATGGTTTATTGGTTGTAGCAAAGTCAAGAAGAATAGGAACTGGGAAGAGATTGGAATCTTAAAGTAGAAGGTTTTTCTTTACTTTTCCAAGTGGCGTATATCCGATTTCAGGAGTCAAGGAATGAACTATTGAGAAAGTAGAAACACATTTTCAGTAAGTGAGCAGATAAAAGAAGTCTAAGAGGTTTGATGGAATTTGAGGGCTTAATTATATCAAGGCATATATTTTAGGTAGGGAAAACATGACCAAAAGCATAATCTATAGGGAGAAGAGAAGGGTTTTGTAGAGAAAGAGTGATAGAAGGGAAGGGAGAAAAAGAGGGGGAGGAGGAAGAAATCAAGAAATATATGCTATGTATATGATATTCATGTAAAGTGAATGTATGTGTCATATAAAAAAATCATCTAAAAACCAACAGAGGGATACAATGAAGACAGAAAACCATTGTGCAGTGTCATTGGAAAACGTTTTGCACATCCCTATTCCATAATCTTGTGAAGTTGTGGTGAACATGTGTGGGAAAGGCTAGAGGAGACTGCATTGCAGAAGACAACAGGAGTCAGAGGTAGGCATACTCAGTACTCCTGAGTTAGGAAACACTTGAGCTAAGAAGTTAGAAACAGAAATTAAATTCTTATTCTATAGGTGATGGGGAGTGTGTGGACCAGTTGGAATAAAGAAGAAAGAATAGGATGCTAGTTCTTCTGATTTGGGCCTTCTCTAGTAGAACTTGAGAGACTACGCATGGGGGAGGAGGCCAGGAGAGGGGATTATCCCAGGGTTGGGGATGGTTATCATACACAGTGAGACCCAGGAAGATAGATGATAAGGCACTCTTGTGAATTCCAGCTAGTTAGGAAACAGAGTGAAACCAGGAGCTTCTGTGAAATGAGAGGCTAGAGACAGGTGGAATGGACCCAGAGAAGATCCTGCAGGTGAGAGAGGTGCAGGAGGGAGCAGAGAGTACGGTGGGTTTCTTATGTCAGATGAATCCAGAAGGGCAATCACAGAGATTAGAAGTTAGAGATTAGAGATTAGAAATTAGGGCATTGAGTCTCCTCTTAATTCACTTTCTTCTCATTATAACTTCATTAGACATTAGTAAAACATTAGAACTGGGCATGAAGATGAGCATTTAATAGAAGACATTATTCTTCAGTTACTTAGAATGTGTTTTTTTAAATAATAAAGTGACTTTTGGAGGGTTAGATTTTTATTGTTAGAAAAGCAGATGATTCTGGAAGGTCTAATAAAAAATTCACACAGAATCTCACTACTACAAGATTGGCAAGTTTTTTTCAGATGTTTTCTTTGCAAACACATACATATAGAATTTGTAATATATTTTGAACAGAAGAAACTAACCATAATTTAGTAATTTTCCTTTTGCACTCAATGATTATTTTGGAAAAGATCCATGTCAATGAATCCATAAAGACATATATTCTGGTGGTTGCCTTTTGTATCACATTAGTAGCTGTTTTTCCTGTCTGGTCACTGGAGTTCTAGGATGACTGAGAACTGATACGTTGTGCAGTTAGTGCTGCTGACTGCACTCTGACTTTGAGAGGCATCTCCTTCAGTAGGAGGGAAGATGAGTCTTGCTGATGCCAGGTTGGGGAGTTCAGCATGTGAGATCATTACTACGACTCTTCCTGTCTCACCTTCAGCTCCACACTTGTTTCTTCTTTTCTCATTCTCTCTCTCTCCTCTTTGATATTCTTTTCTACTTGCTTCCTGTCTCAGGCTTGACAGAACCACAGTAGTATCATTGTGTTGCTTCTTCCATCCAAGCAGATGCAGAGCCTCAGAGCTATAATCAACCCAATAATCTACTTTTAACTCGAAAGTAGTGAGAGTGAATCCTAGCTGGGTTCTGTTCATAATTCAAGCAGAGATGTGGTAGGTAATTTTCACTCTGTAGTGGAATATATTCCTACCCTGGCTTCTGCCTGCTTACAACAAGCTTGGAAGGTTAATACTGTACCTATGCAATGTTAAAACAGCAACCGAGAATGGACCCAAACCACCAATCTACTGATTTATTTATTTGTTTGTTTTTTGTTTTTTGTCTTTTCTTTTTTGGTGTTGGACTTGAACCCATGGCCTCAGGCAAGCACTCTACCACTGAGCTACATCCTGGCCTTTTTTCACTTATTTATTCAACACCTAAAACTTTTTTTTTGGAATCACCTAGTATTATTTTAGCAATTTATTCCGATACTGTTTGAAATTTGGTTTCATTTAATTGTGTCCCTGGTCCTGAGTAAATACTGATGTTTACTAATATTACTCCTAATAATATCTTGCACATATCTTCAAAAGCTTTTGCTCACGAAACCATAAGAATTTTTCAAAAAAGGATGTGCTTCCTCAAATCTTTCTATAGTGACTGACAGCTAAACCTTTTCATCATAAGATCAAAAGGTTGCTAAGGATGACATTGAAAAATATTATATTATAAATACTATTAATGTTGATATTTTAGGATTGGAGGTATGGCTCAAGCAGTAGAGTGCCTTCTTCTAAGTGAGAAACCCTGAGCTCAAACCCTAGCACCACAAAAATGTTGCTATTTTAAAATAGAACTGTTACATCACTTTTAAATGTAGCAAATGGAATCTAAACACCATTGTTACTTGATGTCTAGTGTCATCCATTTTAAAAAAATGATGACTAAGTGCTTCAAAAGTTGAAATTTATTTTGCTCTTATTTTTCTTTTGCTCTGATATCTTACTTCCATTGATGAACCCATGGATTGAATTAGCTTTACAATTATAATGAAAAGCACAATTGCACCCAAACAACATGCAAATATGGAAATTTTGATGCAATATAATTAATAAAAAGTAAAATCTGATAGAAATATCTTGCAAAGAGATGGAGTTTAAAAATTAATTTATGAATAAATATCACTTATTATTTAGAGTTTAACAAGTTTCATTATCAAGTCTTTTGTTTTCTGACTTACTGAGAGAACTTGTTCACCTTAATAGTATATAATATTGGAGAATTTTTTCCTGAGGAGTCATTAAGTTCTTTAAACTTATTTCCAACTATATGGCTTAACTATACAAAGTTATCTATTGTTAAAATGATTTTTAAATGACTTATTAGTTGATAACTCAATTAGGCTCTTTTAATTTTGCTGAAAACAATGAAAAAAAGACCAAACAATCCACAATTTGCCAAAGGATTTGCCACTGGTAAAAGGTGTGAATGTTTTTTATAATGGGGATTTGGGAGAGGAGAATCAGCTTGATACTTCAGGTTCAGGGGCAGGCTCAGATAAATAGACTTAAGGAAAGAACACACACACACACACACACACACACAGAAGCTGAGAATCCAGAAAATAATTCCTTTAAAATGATGTGTGCACTTATACCCTTGAAGCAAAGTATGCACCTCAATAGAAGACTATTGTTGTAATAGCAATTAAGTTGTTACCACGTTTGTTAAATCTGTATATACTTAAAGTTGAATAATTTATATTCTACAGTGCATGTTTAGCAATGTGGTTTGGAGATGAATTCCTTTGATTTGGAGATGGAAGAAACTGAGTATGAGTCTTTGTCTTCATCCTTTATCACCAGAGTGACTTTGTAGCTCCTCTTATATACAAAAGTACT